ACAACGGCCTTATCACCCCTTCGGGCTAAAATCAAATTGTTCACAGTCTGTGTGCGTTTTTTTTTTAATTTGAACACAGCAGTAGCAGTTGCTACAATTAAAATAGATGTGTAGGCGGAAAACTAAAGCGGTACAATTGTCTAGTTTACGCTAGACTTGAATACCCTAAGTGTAGACAGATAAGTAGCATTAAAGCGATATGCCTGGTACTGAGATCGTCAAGCCGCCTACCATATGTTACAATAAAGGCGAATTCTTTCTAGTGGGGAATTTCATTTTACTCACTTTGGTAAACTATGTGCATTTTGAAAAGGCGTTACGTGGCTTTTCTGACACACAAAGGTTATGCAATCTTTTAAGTGAATTAAATTACTATTGGACTTTCGGATTTATCAAAGAGAATTTTGGTATCTTTTGATTAGCAGCTAAAAGAAATAAAAACTGGCCAAGTGCGAGTTGGACTCGCGCATGAAGGTTTCCGTACCATGACACACGTTCCTAGTAGGGGAGCCCTCTTTAATTTTTAATTTATTTCAATTTTTATTAAATTTTGTTATAGTGGCAACAGAAATACATATAATGTGAAAATTTCAACAGTATACCTATTACGGATTATGAGATACAGCTCGTTGGTTACCTTTGGGTACGCAACCCTAGAAAGGTAAAGAGAAGAATCGTATCGCAATTTACATTTAAAGTATAATATACAGTTAGTTTATGTTTGAGTTCTTATCTTATTTTATATCCAAACCACTCTAATTTTACTGACATGTGAATTAACTCATTAAAAAACAATAAACTATTGCTTCAAGTAATCAAAATTATCAATGCCTCAAGCATTAATATTAAAATATTCAGACGACTTAATTATTATATCCTAACAAATTTAAATGAAATTGTAGCCAAGTTCACATCGTTACATAGATTACATTTTTCAAACATAATTAATGTAAATTTTATTTGGCCATTGCTATTTACTATACTGCTTATCAGAGATGGAATGTTTTACGGTACGAGAACAGAGTCTGCTTTGGTCTTTAGAGCCAGATAGAATGTGTTTTTTTTAATTGAAAGTAAGATATCTTGGTGTAAGAAAACCTTGTTTTGAGATTTGTGTGGCGAAAAATAAAGAGCTTTCAGTCGGAACGAGGTTGAGGACCTGCTAAGATAGGAAGTTGATGGATGCAGGTGGCTCAGAACCATGCTTTCTAACGTTTCTTGGGAAGACCTATGATCAGCAGTGGACTTGTGATGGGTGGTAATGATGAATGGTGATGATAATTACAAGCCGTGACGTATCGTTGTTATAAGGATCAAAATGCATCTGTAATTGATAATTTGGTTGCAGGTGTCTATCAGTAGCAGCAACTTAACTTTAGGTGGATTGTTACCTGATTTATTGTTCTGTTCAAAAAATAATTTTAGTGGTACTGAACACTTAAGAAATGAATGAATGAACGAAATTCTTTGCTCTTGCCGTATGCGTTACTAAACCACTTAACTAATTAAAATGGAACGAATGAATGGAATGAACTTTGTAAGTTGCTGTTGCTTGCGAAGGCTTCTGATAAATAATATGAATATTTATTTGTTGGTGTCTTCTTTTTTTCCCCATAGATTGGGGATAACATGAAAAATTTCCTAACCACGATTGGCAAGAGGCTTAGCAACTGCAGATTTCTTTTTATTATTTTGGTTCTTACTAGGAAGAGGCGGTGGGCAGCAGCGTATTTCTAATAATAGATAAAAATGCTGTTGCACACCCGCTTGCCAAGCGTGGCAACGATGGAAAATATCGCACTATGAGGCAATCTGTGGGAGAGGTCAACGTTGTTGTAATTATGTTCAACAGTGGACTTTAATAGGTTGTAACGGTAAAAAGGCGCTGCTGCCCATCTCCTATTTCAGTGTCCCTCTGGCAGTTCTTACGACACACACGTGACGATATGGGGTAGTGGATACTCTTACGTCAGCGTCCAAACGATTTTCTATGCATTTCTTTACTGATAATAGGTTTACGACGAAACTTGTCATAGTTGTTGTGCACAAGCCCGTGAATTTTTCTGACAGAAAAGGCATATGGGCAACACACGCAGGGAATAGCAATTGTTTTATTAAAAAATGTGACAAAAGTCTCTTAGTAACTTTTAGTAATTAAAGGAAGGGTGTTAAAGTTAGTAGTTAATTCTTGGTAAACCACATTCTCAATGACCTTTTAATCGCACCCTTAGGCAAATTAATTAGGGTTGTGAGTACATAGACTATCCCTCTATGATCTCGATGGTAATCTGTTTAGTTTTACATTGATTAAATTTTGAACCAATTTGCTTGATCAGATTTATTATCTTATTTACCCTCAATGTTTACAAGCAGTTTCGAATGAAATATCCAAACTTTAAATGTTTTGGTGATTATTGGCGAAACCTAATAGAGTTTTATGTTGTTTATTGAAGCACATAATAAAAAAAATAGTAATAACGTAGCTAAAGTTGCAATGAGTTATATACTTGCAACGGACCGCCAGTTCTACCATCTGTATAGTCCTGTAACTATGTAAAGATGGTAGTCTTGCAACTCCTGTGGAAAAAGTTTTGGAATTGTGGATTTCTGCCACGTAGAGAGTTATAACGGCAAGCAATAGCTAAATGCTGTGATATTTAGATGGAATATTCAGGGAGTCAATAAGGAGGCTATTACATAGATGTTTTACTTTAGGCTGGTAAGACATGCAGTCGATGAATGCAGGTGGCTCAGGACCGTGTTTCGGGGCATTTCTTGGGGGGATGCCTATTTTCAGCAGTGGACTACAGAAGGGCCGTTATGATAATGATGATACAGTTGCTCTAAATAATGATGGAACTATAACCAGCTTGTAATTTTAAAGGCTGTGTGCTTACTCTAATTTTTAATTGGCAGCAAATTGTCTGTCGTAATGTTATCAGAAATTTCGTAACCGAGACGTTTCTCCTTAGCAACTTTGATATTTTAGGCACAGCAGTAACAAGTCGATAAAACAATCGATATAGCCAAGTAGATATAACAAATATTATATCTGTTATATCTACTTGACTAATATGATGTGACTTAGAAACCAGTGTTCAATCCCTGCCAGCGCGTGTAAGGAACCTTCATATCTGTTTTAATAATAAATTTTCGTGGAATTTTGAATAAGTGTGCTGAGAATATAAGGTACACTTAATATCGAGACTTTAAATTTTTTTATAACATTTTAATTGTGGAAATGGGGGTGACATTCGCTCGCACAGTCGACCACACGGTAACTGCACGATGTGGTTCAACGAGACCTACATCTACAAAATCATCAACGACTTATATGAAATGTCCCGTTTCTATTAAAATGATCTCCTGTCCTCATTATTAACAGCGCCGTTTTGTATAATCATCATTATAAACAAATTAAATCTTAATTACATTTGCATAAGGTTTTAAAACTATAGAACATTGAAAATAAATTTCCTAAAAAAAAGAGCGGCAAAGTAATAGTTTAATTTATAATTTATTCAAAAATATTTCCTTCCAAAAAATTGAAGAAAAGTTTGAAATACCTGCTATTGCTCAAATACAAAATGTTACTTAAAACATATCCGTCGTGTCTCTCTCCAAAATGGAATGTAAAGAGGAAATAAAAATTTGCATAAATTTTAATACAGCTATTTTTCCGCACTCATTTTATTTTACGTTTTCGTCCTTTTGTTTTTGGGGAATTGTATTCGTTTCTACTTTCGTCCATTTAATTATTTTATCCTATTTGTTTTATTTTCATCAAACTTAAAAGCCCATTAGCATAGATGTTTATCGTCTCCGGGACGACGGTATCTGCTACTTATCGTTTATCTCGTTTTTCGATTTCAAGCCAATATTCCAACATTCTAATTGTTGGCTTCTGTTTCTTGACACTGTAGTTGTGTTCTTTTTTTCGACCTTATTTAACAAGCTCTTTAGATGTAAAGAACAATGGCAGACTTTCATACATAAAATTAGTTGAGAAGGAACGGTAGCGTCTATTTATCAAAAAAATCTTAAAATGTTTAACGTCAGTTCCTTAATAACTCTGTCAAAGAATGTTGTCCTGAGAAGGCGTCAAAAAAATATTTAGATTTGAACCTTTTTAGGTCACGTCTTATGTCAAATCGGAAAAGTCATGCTTCCTGTGGTTGTTTGATGTTAGCTTAATGTATACATAATTGAGAGTTTTTAGATTATTGTATATCTATGAGATATTTACATACTATAAGTGTATATTTCTGGCATGACTCTAGGGCCTTTGTGTCATAGTGACATTCTCAGTAGGGCTAGAACCCAGAGCCGTTAAGTCAGTAAAGAAAAACAGTGACATTTTGTTTTAGCTAGTGTTGCGATAACATTAAATGGAATTGTTACATAGTACTATGATTGAGATAATGTATTATTGAAGGAAGAAGATTGATTTGTGCGTGGTATTATACTGAGCAGACGTGTATTTGGTTGTCTCCTTGAAAGTAAATAGCTGTGTTTTCGCAATAATAAACCTTAAACTAGAATAAAAAAGTAAAATACTCAACAAGTGTGTTATGTGCGCTTACGACTATAGTCGTATTTTTAATTAGACGAAGTCAACTGACGTTTACTGTGTTGTCAGTTTTTGATGAAATAAAAATAGTGTTGTGACAAAGTGAATGATTGAAAAACTCCTGAATTAATGAAATTGCCTCGATTGTCTAGTGAATAGTTAGTGTGCTGAACTGCCGATATCGGGTACGGGGTTCGAATTTTAGTCGTGCTTTGTACATACCAACGAGTTTTCCAACCAACGATGTTTCTATAATATCTACCTATACTGAATACCGAGTGTTTTAAACATTAAGGAAAATATTGCGAGGAAACTTGTAAGACTGTCCTATTTTCAATACATCATGTAGTTGAAACTATAGATGTATAAAATATAACAATTATAGGTAGGTAATGAGAATAAAAAAAATCGCTTATTACATAATTTGTTTTTATTCATTATCAGATAAAAAATCATCACTATCGCTTTCGGTGACATTAATTAAAAATCTGTCAGTAACATTGTCAATCATGTGGTCGAGACCATACATTTTGTCTTCTTTTTTAATTATATGAGACACGCAGCTATTCCATTTTTCAGGTGTGATATGTTGAAGTCCTTCTTCAAAAAGTTTTTTTACTTCTGTCATTTTGAAGGTTTTGTTATTTCTTGCAACATATCCTTTAGCCTGCGCCCATACCAACTCAATGGGATTGAGCTCACAGTGGTATGGGGACAGACGTAAAACAATTATCCCATGCTGCGCTGCCATCTCGTCCACAACATACTTATCGCAATGTTCTTGCTTGTGCTGCCGTACAATGTCTATAAGAGTAGCTTTAACCATTGTTGCTTCGAATGAAATATTTTTGCTCGTTAGCCACTCTAGTATTCTAGGTTTAGTCCAAGACATTTTAGGCAGCGATTCTAGTTTCCTGGAGTGGTAGGGGGCATTATCCATCACTACTACGGAATTTGGTTTTAGTTTTGGCAAGACCCCCCTAAACCACTTCTCAAAGGAATCGGCATTCATCTCTTGATGATAATCTTCTTTATTTTTTTTGGCTTCAAATATTAATAAGCTGTCTTCTACGAATCCTTCTTCCCCGCCTATATGGCCGATAATTAATCGTTTGCCCTTTCCTGAAGGCTGTTTTAAGCCAGTGGTCAAGCCATCTAGGAAGGCCTGGCGGGACGATAACACTGTCTGGTCAATCCATGCCTTCTTCGGTGCATGACCTTCAAGATAGTGAAAAATATCAATTAATTATTGAAAGTACAATTTAATGTAAAGAAAACAGAAAATTGTAATTACCTTCGTTGATCCAGGTTTCATCTTGGTAATAAATATACCTTCCTTCCCTTCGATACTCTTTAATTTTTCGAAGGTATCGCTGGCGCCATAGAATAATGTCCTGTCTGTCAATTAAAATGCTGTGTCTTGATTTTGTGACATATTTGAAATTTAAATGTTTCATAACATTTCTTAATGTACTCCAAGAAAAATTGGGTAAGTCTGGGTCTTCATTGACAACCTTAAGAATCTGTAAAGTAATAAAAATATGTTTTGAGTAAGGAAGTCTACGCAATCTAATACTTTGGTTTTACAAAGAACATTATGGTGGACACAGAATATAATGCAGTAGAAGGAATAAAGTTTAAGTTACCTTTATAATGGTGGGTGACTCATTTGCATAAAAAAAATTATGTACTTTTCGCCTTATAGCGGCAAAAGTAAAATCGTCTAATTTATCTTTGAAACTGTGTTTCGGTCCACGTTTCTCGGGAGACTTAAATTGTTCATTTTCTTTGCATTCTTTTAACACACTGTAAACTGAGGTCACACCAATTCCCAAAATGTCAGCTGTTTTCGAAACACATTCTTTTTTTTCGGGGGCCTCAATAGGTAATAGTGAAGCAGCTTTTTCCTCAAATACGTGTTTGTAGACGTTTTGTATCATAAGTTTTTCGGTAACGCTTAAAGCAATCCGTGGTCTCTTCTTTCTTGGAGACAAGCTTTGGCTTGACGTGCTTGGTTGAGGATCCATATCATTTGTACGAAACAATATAGCAACAAATAAACACAACAATTACCACAAACACAACGTAACGAAAAACTTAACAAAAACAATAACTAAACAGCGTGAGCGCAGAAAAAACATTCGTGCTATCAGACCAGAGGTTAGAAGCCGAATAACAAACAAAATGGCGACCGACGCGCGCGGCGTTGATCGGTGTTGGCAGTAGTCGCCGCGCCGCGCTTTGTAATAAAACCTCAAAAAACTGATTGTAGTTACATACTACTAGTAACTTATATCAGAGCACTTTTATACAATTTTATTGTAAAATAGAAATAATATTCTTTTATAGTTTGAAATGATTAACTATACACACTCATTGTTCATTCATCTGATTGAACGAGAACTGAACGCATCACTATTACTTTAAATATGGCAACATTATTTTACAAAGTGACATTAGCTACTGTCAGTTGGCTTCGTCTAATTAAAAATACGACTATAGTCGATACGGATCAAGAACCACAAAGGCGCCCCTCACCACCGCGGATAACAAAGACAATATTATATTTTTCATCTCGGTCTCGATACCGGGGCAGTGCGAGCACGCACGCAAAGACATCAGCGCACTAGTTATCTTTTGTGACGTCGTTCTTGGTGTATGGTACAAGTCATGAATGTCAGACGCTCACCGCCTGGCAAAAGTAACTCGTACACTAATTTGTTGTCACCTGATAATCAGTTTACGATGGAACAACAAATTACTCACAGAAAACGCAAACAGCCAGAACATATTTGCAACTGCAATTGTTCATCTGAAATTCAGGATTTACGTAAAAACCTTACGGCAATGCTACAAAAATTCACAGACACGCAAGAAACAACAATGACTCTCATGCGTGAAAATATAATAGATATAAAAAACCAGTTAAATGATATCAAAGAAGTTACTGTAAACCTGAGCAACGAGCAAAAGTCAATGAAGTCCCAGCTGTCACATCTAGCTACAAAAACGACCAATACAGATAATAAAATTCAGACACTGAAGACGGAAATTACACTGATGAAGAACAAAACTGTTGCTAATGAGCCTGAAATTATGTCAATTAAAAGTAAAACTGTCACAAACTTACACTCATCCGGCCTTGAGGAGAATATAATGCAAGAAATACAAGATCGTACATCCAGAGAAAGAAATATTATCATAGTGGGTATATCAGAGGGAAATGTGACTAACAGTGAGGAAGGGCGTTCTCACGATGCTAGCGAAGTAACTAAAATCATCAATACAATTATGGAGGACTGTCCTAAGCCTAGCAGACTCTTTAGACTAGGAAAGTTTACTCCTGGAAAAGATCGAAATATTAAAGTATGCTTTGAATCCCCACAAACAGTCAAACTTTTACTACGCAATAAGAACAAAATCCAGAGTGGCGTAAAGATCTTCTCTGACCAAACACCTGCACAACAGAACTACATAAAAGACCTGAAGAAGGAGTTAGCCCAAAGCATAGCCAGTGGAGAACAGGATATAACAATTAAATACTTGAAAGGGTTTCCGAAAATAGTTTCTACTAAGAACACAAAAAACTAACAGCTCAAAATATTACTTCTCTTACGACCTCGAACACGATTAAACAAAAGTTTGCTACCCATCAAGTTTTAGACAATTACCAGAATATTACTCTCACCAAATCAAGCCTTAAATTCTTCTATGCTAATGTGAGGAGTATATGCAAGCCAGGTAAATTTGATGAACTTAAATTTATCATCCACTCTTTTGAAAAAACTGTTCATGTTGTGTTACTTGCCGAAACATGGATCAGATCAGACGACCAGGCTAAACAATTTCGTCTTCAAAATTATACTCATTACTATAATTTAAGACCGAATGTCATCGGTGGTGGTGTCTCTATCTACGTACACAATAATCTAGAACACGATCTTGTCACTGCAGCATATATTGATGGAAATAACTACTTGAGTATCCTTCTTTCCAAATACGCCCTCAATGTTGGAGTAGTCTACAAGCCTGGACATACAAACATCAATAACTTTCTATTCAACTATGAGGAACAGCTTCTACAAAAGAAACGAACCATCATTTTTGGTGACACAAATATTGATCTATTAAGCTCTGATAGTTCGGTCCGTCGTTACAAAACAACAATAACTGAATCTGGATACAAATTGATTAACAAAATAGATCCAAAATACAACACCCGAGAAACTGCAACAACGTGTACAATAATAGATCATGTTTCTACTAACCTAAATGAAAACAGTTTTCATATGGCTATAATTGACTCGTCGTTATCAGACCATAAAAATATATATGTGGAATTGAAAAGAGTAATCACCCCAAAGAAACAAACAATACAATACGAGTCTACAGATTTTAAGAAATTATACGAGATGGTTAAGACATCAAGCGACGAAATTAATACACACGATTACAAGGACTTTGATGAAAACATTAGGAAACTCATTAATGAATCCAAGACATAAAAAATTAAAATATTAAATCAACCCCAAAAAGAATGGATTAACAGAAAATTGATAGCAGGTATTAACGAAAGGAATGTGTTATGGAGCAAACTAAAACGTGATCCAAAAAACAAACAATTAAAAAATGAGTTCAAAACTAAAAGAGATACCCTGGCACAAAAAATCAAGACCACAAAGGAAAATTACTTTCACGGCGAATTCACAAAATGTATCAACAAACCTAAAAAAATGTGGAATCTTATAAAAACACTGTCAAATAACAATAATGTAGATAACTGTGCTCCACCAAATCTAAAAGTTGAAAATGGTCTCATAATTTCGGATGCCCTAGAAATATGTGAAATATTTAACGAATTTTTTGCGAACATAGGAACACAACTGGCAAACAAAATACCAAGTAAGTTCCATAAAAACACTTCACACACAGTACCGAGTCTTGATCCTAGCATGTCGCACCGTACACTGTCTCAATTCAATCCATGCACTGCCATTGAAGTAAGGAAAATAATAAATGACCTAGATCCCAATACTAGTGTGGGTCTAGATGGAGTTAGTATCAAGGCTCTCAAATGTATCAACAATTTAGTAGTCCAAAATATAACTAATTGCCTAAATCGATTATTAGCTGAAGGAATTTTTCCGGACAACCTCAAAACTGCCAAGATCACTCCAATTTATAAGTCTGGTACAAAATCTAGCCCGGAAAATTACCGCCCAATATCAGTTCTACCTACACTATCTAAAATTTTAGAGAAAATCATATACAAGAGACTAGACGACTATTTAACTGAAATCAACTTTATGTATGACAAACAGTTTGGTTTTCGAGCCAAATCTAGTACCCTGGGAGCAACAATTGACTTGGTAACTACGATAAAAACAAAAATTGATCAAAAACAAGTAGCACTGGGAATATTTGTTGACCTAAAAAAGGCTTTCGACACTGTGAGCCATAATTTGCTTCTAAAAAAACTAGAAAGTACTGGCATCACCGGAAAGGTATACAAAATGATGGCATCATATTTAAGCAATCGTTACCAAGTTGTAAAAATTGGGTCCATTCAAAGTAGTCCCAAACTTCTAACGTGTGGCGTTCCTCAGGGTTCTATACTCGGTCCATTGCTATTCCTTGTGTACATAAATAACATACACCAAGCAGGCTTACAAGGTCAAATATCCCTTTACGCAGATGATACGTGTTTATTCTATTTTGGACACAATATCGATCATATCATAACACTAGCTCAAGGAGACTTAAGCTTACTGCATCAATGGTTTCAGTATAATCTCTTAACTATCAATATAGCCAAGACCTCATATATAGTTTTCAGCGCCAAGAACAAAAAACTCCCTAACCACCTCACTTTGTCAATAAACGGAGAAATGT